GTCTTTTATCTCAATACATTGCATCTTTCAATAGCAGCTGGGTACCACCTGAATAAGCAACGTTTTTTGGTTTCTCATCGCCGTGCTCAGGCAAGTGAGGATTTCGCTACGTTTTCCTTTAACTTCAATTTTGATTACACGAAGATAAGACACGTCTGCTCTTTATCCTTCGAAATGCTGGCACATGGATTTTTTGCTTCTCAAGAAATTTTTAAGCTTTAAATGGAAGTGTAATAGCTTTTTTGTGAAATGCAAATGCACAAGTCTTAAAAATTGATGGAGCTTCCTCCAGAAGATGCTATTTTTATACGTTTTTAAATTATGTAAATTGCAAAAACGCATATTGTAAAGGCCCATGGTGTGCATTCATGTGCATATTTGTGTGTGTGTGTTTGTCTGTCTGTCTGTCCGGCTATTTCAAGTCGGCAACCAAGCAAGCTCCAGCGTCAAAATTTTGCTAGTGGTTTCCCCAGTTTAGTGTCACCTAGGACCGCGATATCAACCTTCGCGCAAGTCTGGGCCTGGCGTACCAGCAAGTAAAAGTTTTGACGGGAGAATCGCTAACTCGGGAACCAGGAAAAGCTAAAAGGCTGAAGCTTTAAGAAGGAAATTTTCCCAGCCCACGTACAACTTAAAGATTTCGAATTCAGCCCCCAGTCGTGCGTGGTTCTCGCATACGACCTCGTGAATGTTTTTGGCGCGAAAATCGTTAACTCGGGAACCAGGAAAGCTGAAAGGCTGAAATTTTAACGGAATGTTCCCTGTCCAAATAACACTTAGTTGCTCAATTAATTTCCTTAACTTCAATGGTCAGTATGTCACAAATTCTAGCTACTGAGATTCCAAGAAATCTTACTATAGCACGAAATATTGCAAAAACGTTTGATCGCAAGGATCCGCCCGGGTGTGTCTCCAATGATTGTCAATGTTTTGAAAAAAAAGGGCATTGCTAAACCATTAGACAATCATTCATCTGCTCTCAGCTTAGCTCATCTGTGATCTATGGTGCAGAAATGTAACCCATTCAGCTTGCATAAGTAATGTTAAGCCTCACAGTTATCATCCACATCCTTCTTCAGGTCCTCTTCTGCAGGAAACACTTCGTCATATCGAGCAGTGACCTACAATCGCAATCTCTGTGCGTAACGCATAAAATTCATTTGTTACCTTATGCATTAATTCACGACCTCTCAGATCGCTGCAGCGCTTTCGCCTCTCATGCTTGTTGTGCGGAGTTTTTTGCAAAATCCCAACAATCAGCACGCTCGTTTTCTAAGTGTTAATCATACGTAAGCCAGAATGAACGGCCGAGGAGAGAAACAGGTATAGCGTTCACACAGTCGGTTACTTGTTTTAAGTTTATTCTTGGAATTTCCTTTTTCCGCCAAGCTACTATAAGTCACACAGCTAAAACAGTCTGCGCTCGGAGAATTTTAGCTCCACACCTGAAACAAATTTCAACCACTTTCTGGAAAAAGAAACCCTCATAGAAAGGAGCCAAAACAAAGACTTACAATGAACTTAGCTTAATAATTTTTCAAATATATATGTATATATATATGACCTGCTTGACAACTGTGTCGTATCGTATAAAAGTGAATTATACAGTTAATTACTGTCAAGGCTACTAAGGCCAGGAAAGTTCGGTTTTAGTGGTATTACGTGGAAGTAATCATATATCTAGGCAGTTATACGAAACCCCCCGAAAGAACGCCTTTCTATCAAGAAACGCTAATGCCAGATTATTAAGGACTGAAATGTTAATTTGTTGAAACTGTCAATAATCAGCTTATTGCGTCATATTTATGCTAACATAGATGGAGAAAATATCAAAACTTGAAAAAAATTTACCGCTGTCCCACCGCCAACTGGCTCAGCGGTCATCGTCTCGCTACCAATGTCGAGGAGTTTACAAAGTTTAAAACCATGCTTGGCGTCTGGCACCCAAACCAGCTTTCCAAAACCTTCTCGAGTTGTGTTCATTTTCGGTGCCAGAGCCGCGGATCGAATGTGAAAGTTGTGAAATAGATACTGCAGGTGTGCTATCAGAACCTGCAGAAAATGTAAGATAAAGTATTTTAATTATCCCGACAATATGAAAAACTGAAGACGAAAAGTAATGCAAAACGTTGATCCTGTTCAAAATAATTAGCAGCGCGCAGTAGGTCTGCCTGTTCATATATTTTTGCTTGGTTTGGTGCAACAGTGTTAACAGTATGAATAGTCGTTGCTTTACAGTTATATAAGCGTACTCAAGCAAGAAATTCTCATGTTTATCTTTTCCTAAAAGCAGAAGGAAAAGAGCCATCACCCGAAGCGAAAGTGTTGACACTGAGATCTTGTAAAATTTAGGCTTTTTAGTATATTTGACTACGGTGTGTGGAGGATGCCGACAATTTTTTAAACGGAACTTTGATGTTTCAGCATGCGAGACACAGGTGTAAAACGAAAGCTTATTCTGTGCTTGCAAGTTGGATCACGGGAAGCAAATGTGCACATTAA